GGTGCTCTTGTGTGTTTGTGTGCTTGTGACCTGTCTGGTTGTATGGGTTGTGGTTGTGTGTTTTGTGCTTGTGTGTGTGTGTTTGTTTGATCGCATAGCGTGATTGGTTGATATATTGATTGTACATGTGTACATGTATATATAATCCTTTCTGGCCAGGAGTCTGATACTTCACCGTTGCCAGCTGGGCACGCTGCACGCATAGGTCCGATCCCCCCCTTGCCTTTTTGAATGCGGCAGTTGTCAAGCCCTGCAAGGACCCGCAAAAAGAGGGAACCCTTTTTGGGCTGCAATGTGTTAGCGAGGAACGCACCGAACAAGAAGGGAATTCAGGGCCTCACTGAACAACTCGGGATTCTTAGGTGTGGTGTGGTGTAGTGGTGTGTGGTGTGTGGTGTGGTGTGGTCTGATCTGGTGTGATGCGTGTGCGCGCGTGAGTGCGTGTGTGTGTCCCTAGGTCCCTAGGTGCCTGGGCTTTTGGCACCCAGTCAACAAGTCCGCAGGTTCAAAACAAGTTCTCAAGCTTGGTCAATGTTGAACCATCATCACTCAGGACTACCAGGAACATTATCTGGATGTGAATATGTTCTACCATCACTTTCGCCAAATAAGGAGATGTAAGATGCCAAATGTTAGCCAGTAAACGTCACTGTAAGATGCCAAATGTTACTAAACGTCACCCCACTAAGGAGATGGGATGCTTTGACCACTTGGCCCAAGCGATGAGAGGCACCCGTCCTGGATGAAATGCTTTACCTTCACGCGGGTGGCTATTCGCAAAGGGACTAGTTTGTGCTGCTAAAATCACGGGGACACCCAAAACGTTCGAGGAAAAGACAACCGCTGCCCAAACAAAACAGAATTGAGAAAGTGCAATTCATCTGATAGGTGCCCTGGTTCTTGTAGGGCCTCCTTAACCACCAAACCAGCGGGCTCCAAACAACCAAATAGAGGGAAGCTGAAATATGTTAGCCCAAAAACAGCTCAAAACCCATAAAAAAGGCAGATATGTATAACATATGAAAAACCACGTGCCACTGGACATCTGAGTTGCGTAGTAGTTGGTGCGTCGCATGCCTTCGACCGTTTGCCGGGAGCGCCACACCAGGCCATCCAAAAGTGTCGGCAGCAATGTGGGCGCTCGCCCACAGAGTCGTTGCACACACTCCTCGGGTGAAGGAAAAGTCAACTTAGGCCAACGAACCTACCAACCAACCAACCAACCAACCAATCAGCCAACCAACACTGCAACCAGCCAGCCACCCAACCACCCACCCACCCACCCACCCAACCAACCAACCAACCAAGCAACCAAGCAACCAGAAACATCCGACCATCCCACCAAACCCACCAAAAAAATATCCCGGCAAGAGACCCCAAATAGTATTGCGTCCAACTTGACGACAGGTGGCCCAGAAGCATAGAAAAACGTTACGTAAACACTGACGCCTCTCCCACCTGATGAGATCGTAAACACGTCGGTGCCCCTGCTCAAGCGTAGATTCTGACGAGCAAGCTTAGCATCATGCTTCACAATCTCTCCTGTCAACTTCTCGCGCGCGTGATGCTGTGGCTTGATGTTGCGCGCGAAGCTGTGCGTGATGGTGCGCGTGATGTTGCGCGCGATGTCGCATGACGCTGCGCGCGATGCAGCGCATCATGCTGCGCATGATGTTCTGCAACCTCTCTTGCCAAATCTTTCATGTCCTCTGTTGAAAAACTCTCTTGTCCATATCTGCAATTTTAGCTGCGGAAGTGTACTTCGCATACTACCTGGAGCTGCGCGAGCGCGCTTCGCGCGCACGTTGCCATTTACGATTTTGCGGCCGGAGCTGCGGGAATGCACTTTATGTACAACTTTGGACTTAAGAGTTGCGAGCCTCGTGCCATGGGAACGCACTTCGTACACTCATACAAAGTTGCAACTTTGCAGCTGGAGCTCCGGGCGCACTTCGCGTAGGACTTTTGCACCAAAAAAAAGCCAATTTCGAGCTGGAGCTGCGGGAGCGTACTTCGTGCACCACTTCTGCGCTGAAAAGTTGCGGTTCTCAAATTTCAAGCTGGAGCGGCGGGAGTGCACTTCCAGTATTACTCTTGTACTTAAAATTGCGATTTTGCAAGCCAGCTCTGGGGCGCTCTTCGCGTACTACTTTTGTAACTAAAACTTGCGAACTTTTTCAGCCGGAGTTGAGGGAATATCCTCCGCAAACTACTTTTGTACCTAGAAGTTGCGAATTTCGAGCCGGAGCTGCGGGAGTGCGCTTCGCGCACTATACTTTTGAACTTAAAAATTGCGATTTTGTAGCCGGAGCTCCGGAGTGCTCTTCGCGTACTACTTTGGTACTTAAAAAGCGCGATTTTACAGCCGGAGCTGCGGGAACGCTCTTCCCGCTCTACTTTTTGCACCTAGAAGCTGCGAATTTCGAGCCGCAGATGCGGGAGAGCACGTCGCACCTCGCACGGTGCCACAGCGAGAGCGCTTCGACACGCACGATCTCCGCAGAGGGTTTGCCGAGCTCAAGACACAGTCGCACGGCGCCACAGCGAGAGCGCTTCGACACGCACGATCTCCGCAGAGGGTTCGCCGAGCTCAAGACACATTCGCACGGCGCCACAGCGAGAGCGCTTCGACACGCACGATCTCCGCAGAGGGTTCGCCGAGCTCAAGCCAAATTCGCACGGCGCCACAGCGAGAGCGCCTCGACACGCGCGATCTCCGCAGAGGGTTCGCCGAGCTCAAGACAAATTCGCACGGCGCCACAGCGAGAGCGCTTCGACACGCGCGATCTCCGCAGAAGGTTCGCCGAGCTCAAGCCAAATTCGCACGGCGCCACAGCGAGAGCGCTTCGACACGCACGATCTCCGCAGAGGGTTCGCCGAGCTCAAGACACATTCGCACGGCGCCACAGCGAGAGCGCTTCGACACGCACGATCTCCGCAGAGGGTTCGCCGAGCTCGAGACACATTCGCACCGCGCCACAGCGAGAGTCGCCGAGCTGAAGACACATTCGCACGGCGCCACATCGAGAGCGCTTCGACACGCACAATCTCCGCAGAGGCTTCGCCGAGCTCAAGACACATTTGCACGGCGCCACAGCGAGAGCGCTTCGACACGCACAATCTCCGCAGAGGGTGCGCCGAGCTCAAGACAAGTTCGCACGGCGCCACAGCGAGAGCGCTTGAACACGCACGATCTCCGCAAAGGGTTCACTTTCGTCTTGCAACGCTTGCAAATGAGCGAAACGCTGCGCCTGCCACGAAATTCACAGACCCTGTTTCCGAAAATGCTGCGCCTGCCACGCATCATTTACATCAGCGCAAAACATGCTGCGCCCACCACGAAAAATGCACGGCAGTCTCACAGAATGCTGCGCTGGCCATGGAATTCTGCGGTAACACGCAAATCCGAAGATCGGCGCGGCGCCACAGCGAGAGCGCAGTTTTGAAGAAAGGTCCGTTTCGTGCGAAGCTGTCGCACGCGAGACAACTTTTTGCGACAGCTGCCATGGCTTTAGAGCTCCGATTGTCCAAGCGTGGTAGCCTGACCCGACAAGAAGATATCACCGTGTGGCGGCCCTGCCATCAAAAAACGCACTTTGGTCTCAAAAAAACGCGTTTGGCACGAGGCTTCCTCAAAAAACACACCCCGCGTCGCAGCGCGCACCTCCCAACTGTTGCCCCTGCCAGCAAAAGCTGAAAAGTGCGAACGGCACCACAGCGAGACGCACGCACCAGCTGGCACCTCCATTTCGTGCGAGACTGTCGCATCGAAGACAACTTGTTACGCACAGGGCCAGCAATTTGAGCCGACACCTCGATCTACACCAGGCCTTAACTCTTACCTCTTACCGTAAGAACCCCTTAGTGTAAACACTATTTGGGGAACAACAACCAAACCAACAACCCAGCCTATACCAAAACAAAGCCGTTGAACAGCACACAAGACATAGAGCGACATGTTTTGCGCCTGGTTGACAGCGTCTATCTCAAAAGTCCTGTCACGTGTTTTTTGTCGACCCCCAACCTATCTTGTGGATCCATAAGCCAAAAGGTAAAATGGAGGTCAGAACAGGTTTGTGGTTGGAAAAGCAGGGCCCTCCAAAGCAATTGCCTCAGGATTTTCAGCAGAACAGAGCCGTACCCTTCAAGCGAACTTTTGGAGGGTCTGAAAATGAGCCTCCAAAAGGTACTCTTTCGTGTGACAACCCCCAAAATAGCCAAAAGAAGGTTAATCAATGAACTGCTTAGGGTTCATCCGGGGTAAGGTTGGCTATTGGGTATAACTATTTCATGGTGTCCTTCGCGAAAAACCGAGGAGGAGACCAACTCATGCTTAAACGCACCCCAGTGACAGTTGCCCAGTGACCCTGGCATATTCAGGAGCCCGCCAAGCGAAAAGCACTAAGGACGTCGGTCAACAACTGGACAAACCCCACGCGCCCTTAATTTGTCCTGTTGTTTTCTAATTCATCCAGTAGAGAGGTTGGAATAAGGGCACCCTTCTTTCTGTAGTATATTTTTGTAGGGGGAACCCTCCCCTAAAAAAGGGTAAAAGGGCGCTACTGGGGGACCTAGTTTTGTACCCCCGTCCCCCTTGATTGCCGATCACAATTTCAGCCAAGGATCCGGGTGGCAAGTGAACAAGGCCTCGCAGCCATAGTAATACACCTCAGCTCGAGAGTGACACCCGCTCGTACCGAGTCCCAGGTATGCGCCTACCAGCTTGTTCTATTGAACTCCTTGAAACACCCGGAGATTGGCATACGACATGGACTACCTGGCCAATGGGATGAGCATCCCAATTGCGGGCCGTGTACTAGACCCGCTCTATCAATAGGGTCCCTTCCACAAATGATGAACCCCTACTTTAAACGAGACCCCCCCGCAATTCGTCAACCAGGGTTCATGAATCCAGGGCACTTCAGCGCCCCAAGTTGGAATCGTATGAACTTCCAACTCATGGATACACAGGTTCCAACGAATAGGTTCCGATTGCGTGCACCAACGGACAGTCACGTTCTTTGTTTCTCTTGCGCATTTGTTGGGGTCCATTTCTATAGGGTGCCCAACTGATGCATCGCACAATCGCAGAGACTGATAGATTCAGATGCACGCTTCCCTAGTTTCCTGACCCTGGCTTCTTAACGTTGTAAGTTGCACCGCTTCAACCTGTCTCACTAAAGCTTCAACTAAAATCAAGCAATCGCTTTGTCGCATCGCATGCCTCAGTCACTTGCAACCTGCTGGGAAGAACATATAAGAAATAAGAAAGGAACAACAATGTTCACATGTGTGGCATGCCTGGCACAAGACACTGGCCCAATCAGGCAAACAAACACCGGGAAGGCCAACAAATCTACTTTCACGCTGGTGTACATCGGGTGCTTTGAAGCCTGCTATTTTTTCATTTGAGGAAATGGTCATCTGCTCCCGCCGCAAAGGCCCACCCAAACCAAAGAAACAAATCCATCCATGTCTGCTCACCGCTCCATTACCTGAGCCAGGGTTTGATTGGTGCCCAATCCTGTACCAATTGGGATGGACAAACCCTATGAATACATGGACAGACTACCTGCGAATTTGTCCATTGACAGAATCTCCCTGCTAAGCCCAGGAACATCGCGGTCTGCCCGGATGGTAAGGATATCCTCCAGGATGGATTGGGCACAAACAAGTGCTCCGCTGTCAATGGCCCAATAGAAGGGCGAAATGGACTGTGTTCCTCAGTATCACAGCATTGCTGATACTGATGTGCCGGAGGCAAAAAGTAGCTACGGCCCAAATAAACGCCAGCCCAAAGTACAGACCCAATGAAAATACAAACCAATCGGAGATATGTTCAAAACATCAACATACGAAGCCCGGCCCAGATGGAGATCGGGTAGAACTGGACAAGGCGGAAGTGCCCATTGACTAGTTGGGTTGGGACTCCAAACCAGCCCCAGCCAAAAGACCCTGAAATGCCAAAGTTTGGGGCTTTTTGATTCAGGGTTGGCTGCAGAACTTAAGCCATTTGGGCCCTGCGCTTCTTCCTGCTGTGTGCCTCCCCAAACATACACACCCGTTTCCAGGGTGTTTTAAAGGTACCCTTTCGAGGGGGGGGGGGGGTGAAGGGCAAAAACCAAAGGGACAACCACCAGTTCACTTGTGTAATGTTTCTGCTTTTTGGTGGGGGGGGGGGCGGCTATGTTGATACATACCCATCCCCCCTTACTGACCTTCATCCACCCGGATTTGAGCACGTGGCTCAAATGGTTCCGTGGTACCAGCCTAAAATGGGCCACCCAAATCTTATGTGTGTATCTATCTATAGATGCGTGTACATATATATATATATATGTGTATATGAATGAATATACATATATATATATCTATATATATATATATATATATATTATGTGTATATATGAATATATATATATATATCTATATATATATATATATATGTATATTCAGGGCCGGGTCAGAACCTTTCCGGGATAAACCCGACACCCAACCTCCAAAGTCCCCATGTCGCGCGGCCAAAATCCCTGCTCCAGATCCCTTCAACTTCAGGCAGATTCTCCATCCAACCCCACAAATGCCTCCAACCTGTCCAATTCGCTTGAAAAACGATCAAATCCCCTTTAACGTACGTACGTATGTAGGCATGTATGTGTGTATGTACGTACATACGTACGGTTGTATGTATGCATGCATGCATGTATGTATGTAGGTATGAATGTATGTATGTATATGTATATGTATAAGTCTTATATCTCGAGAAGGTAGTGGCATCCTCCACCCCTCCGATTTCTGATGTGTTTTGCCTCCGAAAGGCCCACAGTGATGTTCAGGAGCTCCTTGGCTCGATGACCTCGCGGAATCACTTCCATGGCCTCGGGTTTGGCTCGCGGGCGGTTTTTTTGACGGCCTCCAGTTTTGACTTGCGATCGGTGCCTATGGGGGCAGGGAATGACCATCCTCTTGCTTAAGTCCCCTGAACAAAATACATATTTCCAGATATTTATAGTGATAGATTCCCTTAAAAACCAACAGGGGAGAAAAGATAGGGAAGGAGAAATGGAATGGCCCTGATAAGCCAACCGGTGGTTTCCTTTAAGGGGACCCCTGAAGTTGATTTCCATGGTACCTGTTTCTTTGGCTGGGTTTCAACGGACGCCCCTAACGAAAGGAACAAAAACTCACTTCCCGAGTGGATTGGCAAGAACAAATCCACACCGTTTACTTACCCCAACAATGAACCAAACTCAAGAAGTGAGAAAAGAACACGCGCCAAGGGAGGTCCCAGCTGGGCCATCCTTCCTTTAGTGGTTGAGCCCATTGGTGGGTTAAAAAATGAAACCATCGATGAACCAGCGGGTAACTCTCAACCGTCTTACAACAAAACAGGAATAGGACATCTAGAGAACATGCTTTCAAATTCACTAACAACACTTGCCAAGGGCTTGGCGAGTTTGCAGTAAACTGACGTTTTGTGTTTGCCTCTGGTTTCTGCGACGCATATCCTATGAAACTGACTTCTGGCGAACCACATGTTGGTAGCGGGAGGTAAAAACTTCCAAGGCCAGAACGAAATAAATGTATTGGGTGTGCCTCAAAACCAACCAACACATGGATTGCCCAAGAGAAGAAATCGTGCAAATCATGTCGCCACCGAATCCCGTGCGCGGACAACAAAATAGCAAATTTGCTTCCCTAGGAAGCAATGGGATGCATCGCTGTCCACTTATTACTTCCCTGGCCCCTTAGCCCCTGATTACACCCAAACATATCCAAGCAGGGCTGTGGGAAATGACCACTTCTGTGATACAACAATAAGGGCTTCCCAATCACTAACCCAATCACTAACCCCCCACATAACGGGGGAGATTCCCTTGTATCACAGAAGTGGGGTAAAACCCCGAGTGATCCAACAACTCCCACAACCCTGTATGCAAATATACACCTCCAGACCTGTCTTGCCGCATTTGTGTCCGTAATTACAAGCTTCGCATATCTTCAACCTTCAGAGGCCTTTGGGTTGTTCAAACCGGGGGTCTGGATGGACCAAAGCCACTTCGCACCACTTGGCTGATGAAACCCTATGACGGAGAAGTCACCGAACTGGTGCGATGAGAAAGGCGAACACAAATCTGCAGGCTTTGCCAGCAAATTAAGCAGATTTTTTGTACATTCTGGATATCCCATATTCAGAGAATCTGTACAAGTTCAAACAACGATACTTTGCCACAACGAGCAACTCTAAAGAAGAGCTCACTCGATCAATCAAGCGCTCATCTACCCAAATCATGCCTTTGTTTGGGAAATTATTTGTAGCAACTGCACAGTTTAGAGCCACTGTGGAATGTACGAAATCCTGCACCAGTTAGGGGCGGAAGAAACCCTATGCATACCGCAAACACCTAAGGACGTACCAACTGGTGCGGTGCGGGAACTCGACCATCAACAGTATTGGGGGCACGCCGTCAAAGTCACATGACAAAACACACCTTGATCAAGCAAGAGAGCTACACAAAGGGCACCTCCAAACTGCCACATCTACACACGAAGAGGGTTGCCGTATACTCCGGACACCTGCATTTTCTGCTTTGAGTTGCGTTTTGTTTGCCAAATGAAGAAGCCCAAAGGAAGAAGCCGCGACCAGAATGGTTCCCTTTTGGCTTCTGCTTCAAACAGCCAAAAAGGAGGTACCCTGAAGAAAGGGTACACCCACACCGTTCCGGCGCCGGCCTTCTTGAGTTGAAACTTCTGGTTGCTGTTGATCGCCTTCATGACCAGCGTCGAGCCTAAGGTTCAACCCAGGGCTTCTTAGGTGGGCCGTTTGCCAAAAGAGGCAGGGGTGACTCCAAAGACCCTGTTGGTGGAACAGGAAAGCTCGCCAAGTGGATCGCATCACTAAAACACTTGCTGGTGTGATAGGGAATGTGGGAATGGAGCCAGGGGTCACCTTAAAGGAAACCACCAAAGGAATGGCTAAGGGTCATTCCATTGTTCATTCCCATCGCACCAGCAAGAAAAAGGAGCAAGCTCCGACAGCTCGACTCTGCAATATCGATCCTCCAATCCGCAAGTTAATCGTTTCTGGTCAGTTTCCTTGTCGTGCACCGCCAACACAAGCCACTCTTTGTTTGAAGGCACGCCGTCCGGATTCCCGCCAGGAAGTGATAACCCCTTGGCATTCTATTCACTTGTACATATATATATATATATAAATGTAGTTTTGCCAGGGGAAACCATGAGGAATATATGAACACGTTCCTGCATTCTCCAAGCAGTGATTGCATGCCATTGTGCAACCCCCGCACGTGTTCCCTAGGCGCACCTCTTGGTTTGGCTATAGGGGTCTAAACAATTGGACATAAGCAATTGTTGAACTTGTCCTTTGTAGCCGAATCCCTTGTAGAACACGGGACATATCCCTTTCCACCACCACCCACAAGAATCCAATTTCCCTCAGCGGCAGTGCTTTGGGGGTGGAAGCCCTCTTACCAAAGAAGGAGCCCGTAATTACTTAGACCCCTTCTGATTTTAGTGGACCTCCCATGGCTTAAAGGGAACCCGTTCCCGCCATTCCCCCCATCCACCCCATTTTTCGGGTGCCTTCGGTGATGGTTCGCATCAAAATCTTCGCCATGAGCGCCATGGCCCAGCGGAAGCCCTCGATGGTCTGCTGGTCGTCGACGTAGGTCTGGATCAGCCCCACGGAGGAGGACACGAAGGGGGGCATCATCTCACTCGGCACCCCATAGCCTCAAGGCTCGCTCTCCAAGTTGGGCCAAGGCCGCCCTGCCCCAACTTAGCAACCAACCGCTGGTTTGAGCAGAATGGTTTTTATGTTCGCAGCCGGGGTTCCTACCCTGTCAGATCTTTTGACCCCCTTACCCCAGCTGCGAATTCGATCACGGAAGCAAAAGAAGACGGCCCGGTCGAGGCCTACATGTCGCAGGCCGATGGAGGACAGGTCTTCCACGGTCTTCTTGGGCCTTCGATACAGCTC